GTAGCTTGAGGGGCGGGGATATTTGTAGCTTGGAGGGAGGGGATATTTGTAGCTTGGAGGGCGGGGGATATTTGTAGCTTGGAGGGGCGGGATATTTGTAGCTTGGAGGGGCGGGGATATTTGTAGCTTGGATGGGAGGGGATATTTGTAGCTTGGAGGGGCGGGGATATTTGTAGCTTGGAGGGGCGGGATATTTGTAGCTTGGAGGGGCGGGGATATTTGTAGCTTGGAGGGCGGGGATATTTGTAGCTTGGAGGGGAGGGGATATTTGTAGCTTGGAGGGGCGGGGATATTTGTAGCTTGGAGGGGCGGGATATTTGTAGCTTGGAGGGGCGGGATATTTGTAGCTTGGAGGGGCGGGATATTGTAGCTTGGAGGGGCGGGGATATTTGTAGCTTGGAGGGGCGGGGATATTTGTAGCTTGGAGGGGCGGGATATTTGTAGCTTGGGGGGAGGGGATATTTGTAGCTTGGAGGGGCGGGATATTTGTAGCTTGGAGGGGCGGGATATTTGTAGCTTGGAGGGGCGGGATATTTGTAGCTTGGAGGGGCGGGATATTTGTAGCTTGGAGGGGAGGGGATATTTGTAGCTTGGAGGGGCGGGATATTTGTAGCTTGGAGGGGCGGGGATATTTGTAGCTTGGAGGGGCGGGATATTTGTAGCTTGGAGGGGGGGGATATTGTAGCTTGGAGGGGCGGGGATATTTGTAGCTTGGAGGGGCGGGGATATTTGTAGCTTGGAGAGGAGGGATATTTTGTAGCTTGGAGGGGCGGGTATATTTGTAGCTTGCAGGGGCGGGTATATTTGTAGCTTGGAGGGGCGGGGATTTTTGTAGCTTGGAGGGGAGGGATATTTGTAGCTTGGAGGGGCGGGGATATTTGTAGCTTGGGGGGGCGGGGATATTTGTAGCTTGGAGGGGCGGGGATATTTGTAGCTTGGGGGGCGGGGATATTTGTAGCTTGGAGGGGGGGGGATATTTGTACCTTGGAGGGGCGGGGATATTTGTACCTTGGAGGGGCGGGTATATTTGTAGCTTGGAGGGCGGGGATATTTGTAGCTTGGAGGGGAGGGGATATTTGTAGCTTGGAGGGGCGGGGATATTTGTAGCTTGGAGGGGCGGGTATATTTGTAGCTTGGAGGGGCGGGTATATTTGTAGCTTGGAGGGGCGGGGATATTTGTACCTTGGAGGGGCGGGTATATTTGTAGCTTGGAGGGGCGGGATATTTGTAGCTTGGAGGGGCGGGTATATTTGTAGCTTGGAGGGCGGGGATATTTGTAGCTTGGAGGGGAGGGGATATTTGTAGCTTGGAGGGGCGGGGATATTTGTAGCTTGGAGGGGCGGGGATATTTGTAGCTTGGAGGGGCGGGGATATTTGTAGCTTGGAGGGGAGGGGATATTTGTAGCTTGGAGGACGTCTGAACTGTAGCATCAACGCGCCTGTGGTATTTATATGTTATTGTGTGAGTGGTCATAATGACAAGAAGAAAAACTTGCATAATAGACTTAGCATGGTGATTCAGTCAGTAATCACCTGGATTCTGACACTCAAGGCTGCATGATTCTCTGCTGCAGATAATGCGAACATTGTACCTGGTAACCCTTTACACTGCTTCGTAACTTGCTGTTGTATATCAGAGAAATCTTTTATGTTTTGGAGTTTGTGCTCCTGGGTTTGCTGATCAAATGTGCCACCACTAATTTTACCATACACACTCCGCCACATACACAACATATACACTGTAACATACACACTTCACATACTCTCTACACTCTACCACTAACACTTCACCCTGCACACTCCACTACACATTCCTCCATATACACTCCACCGCACACTGTGAAAAACCCAAGTTATCCGTACATGTGTAACGACACATTGTGACGGTGGTTGGTTTAGAGAGGGACTCGCTAGCCACTGAGAAGTGTTGAGACGAAGTTAAACTTCTGACTTAAGCTTATTTATGTACAGGTGTGAATATGGGCAATTATCATATATGGTAACATATGTGTATATTACCCAGGATAATCCCCAAAAAGTCAGTGATTTATATTGGGGGTCCTTGATTGTAAATTAGTTGGTACGGTGACCCCAGGCCTGGAGGCAAAAGCTCTCGTTTCACACGGTGAGGGGTCCGGGTTCGATTCCCGGCAAGAGGTGGAAACATCAGGCGTGTTGCCTTACACCGACTGTCTATGTTCACCCATCAGTAAAATGGGTACCTGGGTGTTAGTGGACTGGTGTGGGTCGCATCCTGGGATAAAACTGACCTAATTTGTGGGAAATGCTCAACATAACAAGTGACTTTCTATATAGTAGTATGTCATTGATGTCAACTATGGTCTGTATACCTTGTACATGTACTTGTAAAAAATAGATATTATTATTATTATTATTATTATTATTATTATTATTATTATTATTATTATTATTAAGCTAGAACGTAGTCTAAAATTTTAGTTCAGACAGTTTAATCAGGAATGTAAGAGTAATTAGCTTAAGTACCGATGTTGTTTTTCTCTATAGTCCTACAACACCTTCCACGGATGTCTTTAGGTCTTAGTCACTAAGCCAGAGGTTCTTAACCTTTTTACGAATTCAGAACCCCCAGTGGATTGCCCAGTATGTGCCCATACCTCCTCCGCCAGACTGTCTAAATCATCACCACCACCAGTCCTGTTAGGTACCAGTATGACTTTAACAGATGTCAGCAACTTGGGTTTGCTTTACATATGTATAGCTAGCTTAGCTTAGGTAAGATTTGTCAAGAAACAGGACAAGCATTTCCTGACGCTGGAGCTTTTGGTTATCTGACCGAGGCCTTCCGCTGGCTTACCTCTCCACCCTTTCAAAAATTATGGTTAGAATTATAACCTTTGGGATTAAGTTATATAAGAACAAAATAGCTGAAAGAAAATCATAAGGGTTTCATTATTTATATTTATAAGCTAACAGCAAATTGTTAAATCGACTCCCTTACCCCCAAGGGGTATGGATACCACATAATGAGGGATATGGATATATTTCCTAAGGGATAGCTGAAGGGCCCAGCCGTGTTATCACGAGAGAAGAGAACATAAGATAATTCCTATGTTAATTCATGACTTAAGGCTACCGGTGCAATTATAAGTGATTCAATCGTCCTCGGGTGAGATAGACATCTAGGAATAACTCCGGCTTTGCAACTGATCCCAAGGTAAGTCGTCATTGGACCCCATTTGTGAGGATTTGTGTAAATCTGTATTACATGGGTATTTTTGTAGGGTTATATTGCGAGTCTAGACAGCCCCTTACAATACATGAGAAATTTGTCAGTAATAAACTTTAGCCCTATCATTTCCTACACAAAAATTATAGGAAAATTATCAATATTTCCCACTCCACCTGCGGGGGAATTAAACAGGAGTTCAATTAGATTTGATCCTACTAATGGAAAAAAAAAACTCCAATTCCTGGGATCAAAGGAGAAAAAACCTGGCTGCCAACACCTGGAAGTGACATCACGAGCATTTAAAGCCCCAGGCAGCTGGGTTGAGCACTCAGTCACCTCCTGGACACTGCAAGAGGAGGTGTTACACTCCGTTCTCATAGGTAACTCTGCTTAAGGTAAGTCTTTCTGGGTAAGTTTACTCTTTATGGTGTTTTATGTAGGTTATGATCGTGTACAGGTTGTGTTTAATGATTAGTTTTGTGGGGTGTTTATATGTGTGTGTTGTTCACTGTTATGGTGACTGTAGTGTCTTGTGGTAACTGTTTATGGTGACTGTTGTGACTCCAGGTATACCTATGGTGACTGACTAGTGACTGTTATGGTGATTATAGTGACTTATGGTGACTATTGGGACTGTTTCTATAACTATAGTGACTTTGGCTGACTAGTGACTGTTTATGGTGACCATAGTGACATTGTTGATCTCCTGTGATCCAAGGAACTGGAGCTACTCTTCCCTTTCCTTCTATCAGATCTGATCACCTCAAATTCACCAGTGTTACCCCTCCAGTTTTAACGTTTTCCTCATGACTGCGAACTTTAACATAAATGCAGAAGTTCAAACATTGGCTGATGTTTTATTTGTCAGGAAACAGGAAAAAATTTTTTCCTGATGCGGGTCTTAGTTGTATGATGACCAGCAGCTAGAGCTTTTGGTCATCTGACAGAGGCCTTCCACTGGCTTCAAATAATTAATGACCAATAATCACATTGCTGTTAGTAATGATATATATTATGTAAATGTATGTATATCAACATTTATGTATATATACGTATATATATTTTGTGGTATATATATATTTGTTTTATTTTTTTCATTTTTAAATTTTACTGTCCCATGTAACTTGACATTTATTTATGGGAACACGGAAAAAAATATATTGGAAGACAGCTGTTCTCCTGTTTCCTTTTTCAATGTACTTCGTCTGTTTTTTTCATTTATCGTGATGTTTTGAAGGGAAGGAATGAGGGGAGGGATGGGCTTTATCAGTGCAATGTTTCGCTCACCAGAAGCTTTATCAGTTGATTGTATTTAAAACTCCGGGTGCGCGAAACGTGTCCAGATTACAAAAGCGTTTTTTTTTTAATTTATGTAAGAGAGGTGTGCCTAGATCTTGGTGATAGGCTCTAGATCCAAGGAATTTGACCTGTTCTCCCCTTGGATCGATCTGATTGCCTTCCATATTCCTGAGGCCCTGAATGATCCCTAGGGGTTTATTGCTTCCCTTTGATAATTAAATATTGATTAATTTTGTGTGTAATACGGACAACTTGATGAGTAAGATGTTTTTAATGTCTAAGCAGGCCTCTTCAGTCAAATAATTTTGAGGTGATCAGTCCCTCAGCTTTGATAGGTAGCCATTCCTTCGGGTTAAGGTAGTGGACCCCCCCTCATCCCTATCAAGGCTGAGGAACTGATCGCTTCTCAAAATACCCTCACCACCTGTCTACTTTTCGACAACAGATATGCAAACGTCGCACATGTCTTAATTATGTAAAGTTTGCTTACTTGTTTAACGTGTTGAACTAAATTCCAGGTCGTGAAGATGGTGTCAAGAGTATTTCTGGTACTGGTGGTGCTTCAGGTGCTGTATATCAGCGTTCAGACTCGTAAGTTCTAGTTCTGAATTCTTATTTTTTAAACAACCGCCTGATTGAAATGGGTAATGTAGATAAATCAGAGAACCGACAGGATGATGAATTACGCTTGTGCAGCAATGTAGACAGGGGAGGTGAAGCAGTTGTAGACGGTGACACCTTGGACACTTCCACAGGTGGAAGTTGGTCTACAATATATAAGCTAATCCACACACATACTGTACTCTAGAATGATAACTGGTCACATCTTCAGGCTCAGGGACTGATTACCTTGTACTGCTGATCCTCAACCATTCTTCTCTGTATTGGACTGAGGAGCACTGGTTGGTGAAACGTTTCCACAATAAAGATAAGTGTTGCACAAGTGTCTTTCATGAAAAGGGTAAAGTTGTGGGTACTTAAAATGTGTTCCCAAAGATACGGGATCACCAGGTAACACCTATTGTTGCATCTTCATTCATTTTATTGAACTACCATTGTTTACAAACTAAAAATATTATGGTATGCAGTCGGGTTTTTTTTTTTTTTTCCGAAATTTGCAAATATGCCCTTAGTGTCCCTTGTATTCTATAAAACTTGGCTCTGGTCTTTGAAGATGTCACTTTCCCAACTACCAAAATTAAAAATTAAGTACAGTCATCTGTCCGTAAATTGAATACTTTTTTTCAGTAAGTATTTTGTGATAGAAATAAGGTAAACGTATTTTGCAGAGAGTCAGTGTTCACGTCCCTGCAACAAGAAGTACTTCCCAGTGTGTGGCAGTGATGGCCGCACCCACAACAACCTCTGCATATTCCAGATTGCTCAGTGCATGAACCCCTCACTCTATATTAAGCATTATGGCCGGTGCACAAGTAAGTTTTAGCGTGCTGGAGAATGCTCAGTACTTAAATTTGTCCCTTTTTAGCGTGGTGATGCATTAGTCAGGACACAGGACAAACGTCCCCTTGGCAAGTCTTAAGTTTATTCAGGTATACACAACTAGTTACATAGATTATCATGCATAGCAGCGTATGTGTAAAAACCTAAGATAACCCAAAAAAGTCAGTGACTTATTTCTATTGGGGTTCCAGTTAGGAGTCGACATATGACTAAATATTCTTCACCTCACCGGAGGTAGGTTCCAAACCCCATTATAAATAAAGACAACACTTAGTAGGGCCCAATTTACACCAGGGCAATTGTCCAGGGGGCTCTCCAACACATTAGACATCACTTAAAAAAAATGCCATACGTATTACAAGGAAAAACATTAATTTATAACATGATTTACAGTGTATAATATATACCTAAACAGTATATCTGAATAATGATGCGTCCACGTCTCTTAATGGCTACCACTGAGCGTTTTAAAGATACCCAGGAAGAACTAATTTGAAAGGCATAATCTAAGTATTTGCCACTCGAGCAACTTTGCTTTCGCTTCAACCTGTATCTTTTATCATGGGCATGTGTTATGAAAGATAATTGTTAAATTGTTTAAAATAAATTTTTTGCTTAACCTAGTAGTTCATTTTCCTAATTTCAAAACAGCCTATCGGACAGATAGGCTCCCATATGTTATCTGGGCCACGATTATTTGTTTGAAGTGCAAAATGCTGCTGTTACATTTAGTAGCAGTAATACTAATTAAGGGGGGAGTACCAACAAACTGGGTTTGCCTAAGAGCCGGTGTCTCCACATGACTAAATCCGGCTCCGCCTAGTAATCTCCTCCTGTTACCCGCTTGTTCTTTACCAGGCTTCCGTCTCTGTGACATTCCTGTACTTGATACACGTAGATATGTCCTCTAAGGAGGTGCCTTGATGCCTGTGATAGGCCCTTGAACGAAGGAATTTTTCTTCTCGACTTGGATTGAACCTAATTAACTCCCAAGCCCTGTACTACGCCCCCCCCCCCAAAGTTTGTTCTTCCTACGTAATAGCTATGCCCTTTAAGTAGAGGGAGCCTAGTGGACCCTACAATGTCACAATCTCCCCGGCAGGAAATGGGGTGTTTGGCCCTCCAGGAAGTCATTTCGATGGAGCGTCAAGCGCGCATGTTTTTTCCCATATAATCATGGGGGAGCGCTTAGCCCGTAGGGATTATACAGCGCCTGTGAGGGAAGGTGGGGGAGGAAGGTGTTCAGTCTCGGTTCAGGGACCTGGAGCACAGAACCAATTCCCTAGACAGAGCCTCTCGCCAGCTTCAAGGAACCTTCCTTAAGGGGTTTCGCCCCCTAGCCACCTGTTAACCGGTATTTCTGCACCCCTGTGTAGCTTGGGGAGTGTGGAACACATTTTAAGTGCCAACAACTTTACCCTTTTCAGTCAGGCAGTGGTTTACGAGAAAAACGGTGGTATTCAGTCCCTCAGCCTGTAGGAATCTTTGACGGTCGTCCGACATTGACACTTCAATGGAATTTTTTAACTGATTTTATGCTTTGTGATGGCATTTGTGTAATGTTTTATGTTAGTAGTTCTTAAAGTTTACCTTTGATGTTCTTGTATTTATTTCCAGTAGTGCTAAATGATCCACAGTGACTGGAACAATACACAAATAACCCGCTCTTAAGAGACAAACTTACGACGTTTCGGTCAGACGTTGATCATTAACTAGTGACTAGTTAATGGTCCAAATCAGACCGAACAGTCGCCACGTGTTTCTCGTGTGCTTGTTATTTGTATACTACCATCAAAGGCTCGTATTAAAATCTCGAAGCTACCTATAAACCTGCCAAGGTTGATACCAGTGTTTGTCTTTGTGGGTTTTGTTTTATTAATGTATTTGTCTTGACAGGTAACCCACAACAGTGTCCTCAGGTTTGCCCCCTCAACTACCAGCCTGTTTGCGACAGCACTGGCAAGATGTATGGTAACCAGTGTCTGCTGGACGTAGCTATTTGTAATGACCCATCCATCCGGCCAGGTGTCTGTGGTTAGTAACTGCATGTTCTCGGTATTATGTTTCCATAAATACATTTAGGTAACTGGTAAATGGGGACGAGAAAAAAAAATTCTAGATATCACATAAGACAATTTCAGTGATATTATGCTTTTGCACCATACATCTGTTTTCCTTGTGTAGAGCCTAATCATGAGTACTTTATACTCTAGTAGTACCAAGACTTTAATACAGGTATGAGGGATGGGTTTTAAACATTGAGACGAGGAGGTGGCTGGAGGCAGTGATGGGATGGGTGGTTGAGGTGGTTTGAGCAATTAGAGGATTGAGCAGAAGAGGATGGCCAAAAACGTGTTATTCTGGGGTTTAATGAAAGGGGAGGGTCGTCCCTGATAGGTGTTTTGAGTGTTACGGGAATGAGCAGACTTGTATGAGTGTTTAAATTCAAATAAGTGGGGAAAATTGGTTTCTATGACTGACTAGTTATTACTGTAAAAAGATAGACATGTGAAGTTCATTACCACTGTAACTTGTTTAGCTATCAGAACCCTGCGGTCCAGTACCTGGACCCATTACGTACCAATGTACTACTTTTGACTATCACCCACAGGATGGGCTTGGGGTGCATAATAAAGGTATTAAACCATGACGACGTGCTACTGGAGTGTGAGCAAGGTAACATTTATTAAGGGATTCAGGAAAACCTGTTAGCTAGACTCAAGTCCTGGAGGTGGGAAGTACAGTGCCTGCACTCGGGAGGATGGGTGGAAATGTTGGTGTGCATGGTCATCTGTACTGTGATATCAACATATTCTGCCAAGATTACTTTTTAGTTCTGCGTGCAGAAAGCCCATAGTTATGTGCAATATTTCGGGTTACCCTGAGTGGGTTAATAAATATTAATCCATCCAGCCACGGAGTATAAAAAAAATTCCAACCACACAGTAGAACAAAAAATTAATGTCAAAAATCTGGGAGTGATCATGTCAGAGGATCTCGCCTTCAAGGACCATAACATTGTATCAATCACATCTGCTAGAAAAATGACAGGATGGATAATGGGAACCTTCAAAACTAGGGAGGCCAAGCCCATGATGACACTCTTCAGGTTACTTGTTCTATCTAGGCTGGAATATTGCTGCACACTAACAGCACCTTTCAAGGCAGGTGAAATTGCTGACCTAGAAAGTGTACAGAGAACCTTCACGGCGCGCATAACGGAGATAAAACACCTCAATTACTGGGAGCGCTTGAGGTTCCTAAACCTGTATTCCCTGGAACGCAGGCGGGAGAGATACATGATTATATACACCTGGAAAATCCTTGAGGGATTAGTACCAAACTTGCACACGAAAATCACTCCCTATGAAAGCAAAAGACTCTGCAGACGATGCAACATTCACCCCAGTGAAAAGTAGGGGTGTCACTAGCACGATAAGACATAACACAGTACAGTGTGAGAGGCCCAAGACTGTTTAACTGCCTCCCAGCCTATATAAGGGGGATTTTTTTTATATTTTATTTAAAAGACATACATAGTACATGAAAATAAACGACAAATTACATAGTGAAAACAGTGATGAAAAATTCTGCATATTACATGTACTTTCCAATTAACATATTACATCTGAAAGACAAATCTGTACAGTAAACAATGACCACTCCAATCCTTGAAGTAATGACATTATGTCTGGAACACTAAATCTAACCTAAAGACTCCTTGGCAAGTACATCTCATTCCTGATTGTACATCCTGCCACGGAATGTACACCTTACATTGTACATCCTGCCACGGAATGTACACCTTACATTGTACATCCTGCCACGGAATGTACACCTTACATTGTACATCCTGCCACGGAATGTACACCTTACATTGTACATCCTGCCACGAATGTACACCTTACATTGTACATCCTCCCACGGAATGTACACCTTACATTGTACATCCTGCCACGGAATGTACACCTTACATTGTACATCCTGCCACGGAATGTACACCTTACATTGTACATCCTGCCACGGAATGTACACCTTACATTGTACATCCTGCCACGGATGTACACCTTACATTGTACGTCCTGCCACGGAATGTACACCTTACATTGTTACGTCCTGCCACGGAATGTACACTACATTGTACGTCCTGCCACGGAATGTACACCTTACATTGTACGTCCTGCCAAGGAATGTACACCTTACATTAACGTCCTGCCACGGAATTTTACACCTTACATTGTACGTCCTGCCACGGAATGTACACCTTACATTGTACGTCCTGCCACGGAATGTACACCTTACATTGTACGTCCTGCCACGGAATGTACACCTTACATTGTACGTCCTGCCACGGAATGTACACCTTACATTGTACGTCCTGCCACGGAATGTACACCTTACATTGTACGTCCTGCCACGGAATGTACACCTTAAAATTGTACGTCCTCCCACGGAATGTACACCTTACATTGTACGTCCTGCCACGGAATGTACACCTTACATTGTACGTCCTGCACGGAATGTACACCTTACATGGTACGTCCTGCCACGGAATGTACACCTTACATGGAAACGTCCTGCCACGGAATGTACACCTACATTGTACGTCCTGCCACGGAATGTACACCTTACATTGTACGTCCTGCCACGGAATGTACACCTTACATTGTACATCATGCCACGGAATGTACACCTTACATTGTACATCCTGCCACGGAATGTACACCTTACATTGTAGTCCTGCCACGGAATGTACACCTTACATTGTAGTCCTGCCACGGAATGTACACCTTAATTGTA